AATATTTTTTCTCAATAAATCCACATTACAACCAAAAACGTTTGCGGCACCCCTCTTCTTTTTAATATACATACTTTTCTCTCGTTGGAACCACTACAACATATTTCTTTTATATATATATATATATATAGGGGGGATTGTTAGTGTGTGTGTGCATTTGTGTGTGTGTGCGTGCGTGTGTGTGTGTGTGTGTGTGTGTGTGTGTGTGTGTGTGTGTGTGTGTGTGTGTGTGGTGCTACCCCAAAAACGTATGGAGGATTTGAAGAGTGTATACAAAATGTATGTATTATGGGCTTTTGCTGCAACCCTTTGTAATACCGGCGTTTCTATTGTCATCTTTAAAATCTTACTACAAAGGGAAAATGAGAAACTCACAGTTAGGATGAGAAATTTCTTTTGCATAGCCAAATGTTTCCAATCTTTTGTTAACACCTACAATATACATGTCTTCCTGATATTCTATTTCCTGTACAACAAATTTTTGTCAAAAGTCAAAATAAATAAAAGCTGATATCTTGATGCTAATTTCACAACAGTACCATGACCTTCATCTATGATAAGAAGAATGGCATTAAACAATTCAATAATAATAATAATAATAATAATAATAATAATAATATATATATATATATATATATATATATATATATATATATATATATATATATATATATATATAACAGCATGGCCCAGCATTGGCCACGACGACTCATACAACAAACGCTATCACTTGACTTAAAATATTTTTTGCCTTTCCTTGCCTTTAAAGGGTGCCCTTTGCTGTGCTGATGTTGCTACATGCCTTACTTCTTGCCTATCTCACACTGCAAATTTTTTCTAAGCTCTATACTAAACATTAAATCTGTTAAGAAAAAAGAACTAAACAAAATGAATACAAAACAATCAGCTTTAAAAAAGGACTCATAACTGGAAAAACCAAATGAAAAAAGAATGTTAACAACAAATACTTTTTCACACCCCACCCAGTTCTGCAGAATCGGAATCAACGTTGAGTTTAAGCAAGCGAATGAGCCAATTGGAGTAAAGTGCCATGCAGATTTAAATTTTTCCCACTTGTGATGAATGCAGCTATCGATTTTTTTTTCATGCTAGCATGCGAGTTAACATTCATGTCAGTCAGCTGTTGGCTCTGACGCGGGCCAGTAGAATCTTCCTGACTATTTGTGGCAGCCAGCTACTGGCTCTCACTCTGGCCAGTAGAAAATGGCCACAAACTACAACTGCTATAGAAGCATGAAAAATCGATTATTTCCACTATCAATGGGAGTTGGGAAATGCAAAGTTGGTCTTGGCCTTCCCGCTAACTTGGAGCATGCGCATGTAAATTTTGATGCAAATCCGTTGAAAAATGTGGCCGTGCATTCGTTACACACACACACACACACACACACACACACACACACACACACACACACACACACACACACACACACACATATCCTGCCTTTTATAGATAGAGATGTAAATCTATTTACACTCAGTGGGTGAAAAAACCTGGATAGTATAATTTTCAAATAAATTGGCATCTGAGGAAAAAGAAAGCACCAGAAACCTTTGAACAGGGCAAAATTAATCGTCCCATACCTTAAATCTCTGGTACAAAGGAAAAAAAAAAACAGTGAGTAATAAGTTAAATCGAAGGGTGCTCAATACACAATGTAGAGCAAAAGTAAAATAAATAAATCCTAATGAGCCAGGTACTAACTACCTAGGTTTCACCACATGGGATCATCAAGGTGAACTGGCTAAGGAGGAATTAATGACAAACAAATTTATTGATAAAATTACGGCTAAAACCTAAAATTAGCATAAGCTTAAAAAGATATAAGACATGTGACTAAAAAAAAAACAAACAACCCAACCTTTATTCTAATAATGAGGCTTTCCTGTGCCTCCATCTATTAAGGATTTCTGACCTCTGGTTTAATTAAATTTTTGGTTTGTTGAAGGTAGCTACTGCTAACTTTTCCTCCATATTCTTCCATATATATATATATATATATATATATATATATATATATATATATGGAAGAACATGATAGATAAGTTTAAATATATTAGAACAATGTCAGAAGAATTTATGACAAAGTAGAATTTTTTTGTGTGGTGCATTTTGTCCTTTAGGACTCCATTGAACAAAAGTAATATTTTTGTTAATGTAATTATATATGCGTAGGAACATGTACAAACAAACAATAGTATAAAATATATGAAAAAATTTTAAATTTAATAATTTCAAAATGTCAGCATTCCAGCATTTTCAGCCTTTCTTACGTATGCATAATTATAAGCAACATTTGCATTTTTATATTCCACCTCCTCTTCCTACACATATATAATTGCATCAACAAAAATATTATTTTACCCTGATGAAGACCTAAAGGATGAAACACGTGATACAAATTTTTTTTCCACTTTGTCATTATTTTTCATAATATATATTTATATAATTTTTTTTATTCATATATGTGTGTGTGTGTATGTGTGTGTATGTGTGTGTGTGTATATACATAGTTGTAGATAGAATTATTTCCCTTCACAGAATATTTGCATATTTTCTAAGGAAATGCAAATATTTGCAAATACATACTAAGTTTACCATAAATAATTGATTCTTCATTTAGTTTGAATAATTCAAGAAATTGTTGAAGTTTCAATCTATTATATTCATCGTTATAGATTTTTCTAAAAATTGGTGCCATCCAAAATTGTTCACCACACACCAACTTATGGAAATTATGAAATAATATTGCTCTATGGAAACTATTTTTTTTCTTAATGTGATATTTAATCCAAATACCCTTTGAAAATGAAATAGTATTGACCTAATTCTATAACATTCTAAAAAGTAATGAAGAAGACAATATGTAAATGCCACATACTGCAATAACTCATTTGTTCTGCAACTATGGTGAAGAAAGCTGAACTTGAAGACTATGAAGATAGTTGATGTGTACAAATAAGGTGATGGATATACAACATTTCCAAGCATTTAAATGTTCCTAAAAGGACAATTTGTACAACAAGACTAATTGTGTTGAGAATAAAATGAAGACTGGTAGAAAACAGTCAATTTCTGAAAGAATGGAAAGGAAAACTGCTAGAGATGTCTCAAAGAATCCTCACTGTAAAGGTAGCAGGGTTGAATCTATTGATGAAGACAGTCACTAGATGCTTTCATTGTGCAGGACTTTAAGATTGTTGCCTAAGGAAAACTCCCTTGCTTAAGGCTAAACACCTAAAATGCAGATTATCATGTTAGAAGCCATCTAGAACATGGGAGTAAATGTTAGAACTCTGTTTTATGGTCAGTTGAAAACAAACAAGAATTATTTGGTCGCATAAACTCTCTTTACATATGTAGGAAAGTGAATGAAGCTTACAAACCCAAAAATACCCTCCCTACAATTGAGCATGGTAGTAAGAGCATTCGACTCTGGGGATGTTTTGCTGCTTTTGGACCAGGAGAACTAGTAATGGTATCATAGATAAAGGGAAGTATTTGGCTATTCTTAAAAATAATATATAACAAAGTGCATGAAAGCTGTCTTTAGAGTGTCACTAGATGTTCCATTATAACAATGATCTGAAACACATGACCTAAATTGTTACAAAATACATAGATGACAAAAAAATTAATGTATAGTCATATTTTGCAAAAAATCCCAAGCTGAACCCCATTGATAATTTATGGCCATTCTGATGAAAAAAGTAAGAAAAAGAAGTCCTTTGAATTTGGAGGAAGTAGAAACTGTTGCCAAGGAAGAATAAAACAAAATACTTTATGGTTTGTGTAGTGATCTTGTAAGGAACTATCAAAAATGATTAAAGGCAGTAATGAAGAATAAAGGTTACACAATTCATTATTGAGGCAAGAGGGTCAATAATTTTGTCCTATGTTAAAAGTTTTTTTGGTGTTTTTTTATATTATTGTTTGACATTATATATTGGTAAATATATCTGTTAAAATGAGATGTCAGTGTGATTTTTTTTTTTCGTATTTTAGATGACAATTTATCCATCGCACGCTGTATATATATATAAATATATATATATATATATATATATATATATATATATATATATATATATATATATATATATATATATATATATATATATATATATATATGTACATATATATATATATATATATATATATATATATATATATATATATATATATATATATATATATATTTTGACCTACATTTTCATTCTTTGAAAATAGTATTGAGTATTGCTAATTTCATCATTCTTTTCATGAATATCATTTCTGCCCCCAAAATTTAAATTCCTAATTACATATATATATATATATATATATATATATATATATAATAAGTTGTATGGATATGAGTTTATGACCCTGGTGAAAAAGCGTGAAACCAAGGGTCACACACTCATATCCATACAACTTATTATGTTAGCTCTATCACTGATATTGAGCACCTTCCACTAAGTACCATGTATATAAAATAAAATATATATTTAAAATTTATTATATATTTATATATATATATATATATATATTTAAATATATATGTATACATACATACCTCAGAAATATAAATATATCAAAGCCTCAGAAATATAAATATATCAAAGCCAACCTGTATGTAGATATATTCAGCACATATATTTATAAATATACATATAAGTATGGTTATACATCTTAATATTACTCTACATTTTTCATGTCTATTTCTCTCTATATGTGCATGCAGATATACCTAAAGTGATGCAAAGCTTTGATTTATACAAAATTCCTCTTGATATTTTTTATACATGTGTACACATACACACATATCAGTGCCTATTTTTGGTTGTATTTGGGGACATATTTTTGTTTTAATTAATACACGAATGTAAGGGAAATTTCTAAACATGCAGGAATATTGATGGGTGCTGCATTATTTTTTTCTAATTTTTTCTAAGCTGTTTTATTAGCAAAAAAAGCATTCACATATTTCCCTGACATGTTTTTTCCTCTCGTATTTCCTTTGTGTTCTTTCATTTCCTTTGTCGAATCATCACTTGTTCATTTTCTTTCCAACATTTTCTGTCACAATAAACATTCAAATTTTCCACAATTTGATTCGTAGCAAAACTGGTCTCCAAGTGACACACTTACATAAAATTTTCTACATTCCTTTTTCTTTTTTCCCTACCGATTTTTATTGAACCTATTTTATCTTGCCCTACTCTTGAAGAAAATAGTTTCTTTATAACAATCACATTCTCACTTAAAGCCCTTTTCATTCTCAAATTATTTAGCTCAGTCTCCTCTTTCTCATTATTGATTTTAAAAATTTCCTGACAATCCCTGAATGGTCTCTTTCATCTATCTATCTATCTATCTATCTATCTATCTATCTATCTATCTATCTATCTATCTATCTATCTATTCAAGACACTTTGAATCTATTTATATCAGTTTCATTCTTCTTTCTTTCTTTCTTTCTTTCTTTCCTGACAATCCTTGAATGGTCTCTTTCATCTATCTATCTATCTATCTATCTATCTATCTATCTATCATCTATCCAAGGACCTTGGAATCTATTTATATCAGTTTCTTTCTTGCTTGCTTGCTTGCTTGCTTGCTTTCTTTTTTCTTTCTTTCTTTCTTTCTTTCTTTCTTTCTTTCTTTCTTTCCTGACAATCCCTGAATGGTCTCTTTCATCCATCCATCCATCTATCTATCTATCTATCTATCTATCTATCTATCTATCTATCTATCTATCTATCTATTTCAGTCTATTGCTATCTATCTAGAAAGCTAGCTATTTATCTCTCCTTCTTATCTACTTTAGCCAACTTCATTTTTATAAATTTCTTCTTTTTCCATGGATATAAATAATACTCAATGAGCAAATAAGAGAGAAAATAAAGATAGTAAAAAAAAACAAAACAAACCTAAACGTGGAAAGATGTAATAATAATAAAAATTTATTAATAAGAATATGAAAGAACGAGAAAATATATGGATGACATGATTGTTTTTCTTTTGTTTTTACAATGTTTCCCTAATGCAATCCTTTTGTCTTCTTTAAACTCATTCTGTGTATTTCAAGTTCTCTTTCACACCTTTTTTCAGTCAATTTTTAAAAAAAAAATGTTTCTGATTTCTCTCTCTCTCTCTCTCTCTCTCTCTAACAGTAATTTTATCATTTCTAATGAGGCTATCATACATTTCTCTTTTATTTTTACTCTCTCTAAACAGCCTTTTTCCCTTTCAGTCTCACTCCCTATTTCTTGAACTATGTGTTTCATTTTTTTTTTTTCAATCAGTTCCAATTTTCATTGTTTCAAGTTTATCTCTCCATTTCCCAGAAATATGAACTATTTTCTTTGTCAGTCTTGTCTTCCATTTTGTTTTTTGGTATTATCCTGAACATCTTCAATTTGTTCTATTTTATATTCTGTTAAACATCTTTTAGGTTTTTGGCTGCTTCCATTTTTAATGTCAAATAGCCAAATTTAAGTAAAATATGCAAAAGTGGGAGAAAAAAAACTCTTGTCAATTGGTAATGAAGAAGTATAGGATAAAATAGCGGAAAATAAAGTAGACTAGGAAAAATCTGAGCTACTTAAGTAAACTAGTACACTTGTAAAAAATAGGATAAAAACTTTTTAGAAATAATTTTTGTAGATTAGCATTATTTTGGCTTTCCTCAGGTCACTATACTTGTCAGAATAAAAAAAAACATATTGATTAGTATTGATTTAGAAGGGGGTCCTGTTTCTGATAACAGTACAGTGTAAAATTGATCCCTGACTTGGAAGAATTACTAGAAATGAGCAGTTTGTTTACAAAAATCACATTTAGAAATCTACTTAGGTCATTTATATCTATGTACAGTTTTTTTAAAGTTTTCATGCTCTTTAAAAGTATTTTTTAAAATTATGTTTCTTTTTAAAGATTTTGGTAGGGTTGTTTCTGGAAAAAGATGTACAAGCATTTGAATATACTAATTATTTATCTTAAATGAAGCCTAAACTAATTGAGATATCCAGAAAATGCATGACATGTGTAACTAGAAAAATCTAATCGAGTGGACAAAATAAAAGGATCACTTCAAAATTCCAACGTATGTCATCTGAACAAGGCCACCATGTACAACAGCCAAAACGTTGTGAATATGACAAAAAAGATGATGATAACAGTCCTAACAATGTAAATAGTGTAAATAGTTACATTACCTTATCTCAGAAAAACAGACAGTCAATTTTTATGGTTACTGATATTTTATCTTAGAATAAAACATAAAAATGTATAAATGCAGTTCTTCTTCGGTAAAAATCTTTTTGTTAAAATAAATATCTTGTACATGGATATCATTGACAAATGCACAGTTTCAAATGTGACTGTTTCAAACAGTCCCAACAACTCTTCAAAGTCAGGGATCGATTTTACACAGTAACTCTTTTATGAATAGGAACCCCTTCTAAATCAATAAAAATCAATATTTTTTTGATTCTGACAAGAGCCACAGATGAAGGACAGTCAAAAGAATGGTAATCTAAAAAAATCATTTTCCTTATTTGTTATTTTCCTTTAGAACTACCTTTCTGTTGTCTCAAGTCTCTTCAGTGGGTAATGGCTCTCTTCAATTTCCTCTCCTTTGCACCTCTAAGCAATGTTTGTCCCTTTATTATCTTTGCTAGTTCATGTTCTGATATGCATTTACACAAGCTTGTTAGCTAGGTAGGTTACTCAGTTTCTCTTTACCTGTCTTGCCTTCAATTTGTTTCCTTTCCTCTTTCATCATGATGTGTCCCAAAAAATTTCATCTGTCTCTTTCTGATGTGTAGTAGAAACATCCATTTTGTTTCCATTTTAATTAATATTACTTAATTGCTCACTTAGTGTACATGGTATTCTCAGAATTTTCCATATTTGTTATGAGTAAACCCGTGTACGTAAGCAGTGTCAAATAATCTTTGTATGAGTTTCTGGTTTGCAAAGAAAGTCTTACATTAAGGATAATGTAGCGATATGTAGATTAACTAATTAACATGTCTGGAATACACAGGCTATATAATGACTCTGATTAGGAGGACGAGGAGGGTCTACTCATTAGTATTGAGTAGTAAGTCAAAGGTCTTAGAACTTCACAACAGATAAAAATTATGGAAAATTAAATAAAAGTAAAAGGTATGTAAGAAAAGGATAAAAATATTTACAAAAACAGAACATATATCTCTTTAGATTTCAAATTCTTCTTTCGAACTACCTTTCTATTGTTTCAGGTCTTTCAGTGGGTAATGACTCTCTGCAACTTCCTCCACTTTCCATCTCTAAGCAATGTCTGTTGTTTTATTAACATTCATTTCTAGTCCATGTTCTCATATCCATTTACACAAGCTTGTTAGTTAGGTTACTCAGTTTCCCTTTATCTGTCTTGAATGTCAAATTTTCCAAACCCTCTTTCCTCGTTGTGTATTCCCAAAAATTCATCTGTCTCAGTGAAGTAGAAATGTCCTTTTTGTTTCCATTTTAATTAATATTCCTTAATTGCTCACGTAGTGTACACTGTATTCTCAGAATCATTCTCTAGAACTATATTTCTGCTGCCTCAAATTTCTTTTTCCTTTTATCCAGTATTCATTACTGTGGATCATATTCTATAAAGTCTAATATTCACTTGTCCAAATCTTTAAATAATTCAAACAGTTTATGACCTGACATCTCACCTTCAGCCATATTCTCATTGCCACAATGCAGCTTCCCTGTGCCTTTTCTATGAACAGTTTCAGGGTAATTGTACTGATGAGCCTTCCTCTTTGGCACATTGACTTCACAAATTTAAGTGCAGTAGGAGTTTCTCAGCTACATCTCATCTCATTATTGTTCAAATTGTGAGAAACAACCATAAGTTCTATACTGAAAGTTTCTTCTCTCACACTTCTTAAGTCTAGAACTCTCTTCTAGCTCCTTGTTCTCATGACAACTACAATTTCAAAAATTTCAAGACAAATTCAATCTTAATTTTCAGTTATGTTGAAACTTGTTCTTTTATTTTTCTATGTTCTCAATAAAGGTTTTCTCAGTTTCTTTCATGCTAAGTAATACCTTATGCCTTACTGGTTTTATCACCTTACTTAGGCTGGAATTTAAATATACATATATATATATATATATATATATATATATATGACTCTCCCATCGAATTTGACATATGAGGGTCAAGCAAATCGGTTCATAGGTAACTGACAGCCCGACAAAAGCACATGAGATTTGATTATAGTGGTGAAGGTTTCATGCAGGACCATCCACACTTTTTGAAGGGCCGAATACAGAGACTTGATGCACTACGTACCAACTGGGTCCCCAAACAACTCTCGGCAGGTTTTGAATTCAGAGTTTTTCCTTCTCCTAGACCAGTTGCCATCCAAGGCTATAGAACCCAGTCTGTCCTGCTATTTACCCATAGCTGGAGGGAGAAGAAGAGGATTCACACCTTTCCCAAGGGTATTAGCATGTTAGTGAATGTAATGGATTCGACTGGAATTTGAACTTGGCTCTCCGATTCCTCAATCCAAGCCACTATCTATTACTCCACCGTGCCTCCTCTCTCTCTCTCTCTCTCTCTCTCTCTCTCTATGTATATATATATATATATATATATATATATATATATATATATATATATATAATAATGGTAACCCAAATTTACAGGAACCAGTTCTATAAAGGCAGCTAGTCATTAGGAACCTATTCTGCTTATTTTCTTTTCAACCTGAGAATGGAAACAAATCCCTTTATAGAATTAAAAACCATTTTAACAATTTAATAGAAAATTATTTCTTTTGCTAGAATAAATTATGTTTAGCTTCTTTACCCTCTTTCAGACTCTGCAGAAATTATAGCAATGGCATTAGCTATTTAGCTATTGTATATCACTTATAATATAGAAAAGTTTATTTTTGAATAATCCAACAACAGTTTTGCTAAGCTTTTATAATTTTAAGAATCGTTTCACATGAACTGGTGCAAACCAGTAGGATTCCACCACTGTATATATTTGTGTGTGTGTACTTTTAGATATATTCTGTAGAGAGGACAGTATGAATAGAAGAAAAAAGACAAAAACACACATTCACTCATGTCTTTTTGCTTCTATTCATATATATATATATATATATATATATATATATATATATATATATATATTCAGTGGAAAAAAATAAGTATTTCATCCTTGCTGATTTTCTGAGTTAATTCCTTACAAAATTAGGAACGGTCTATAATTTTCAGGGTAGGTCTGTCTTGAAAATGAGAGATAGAATATTAAAAACAATTTCAGAAAATCGCATTATATTAATTTTTGAACATTTCTTTTTTATTGAAAAAATAAATATTTCACCCCCTACCAAACAGCAATGATTCAGGCCTCACAGACCAGTTATGTCACCAGGATGCATATAGACTAGTCCTATTAATCAATTATTACTCCTAATCAAGTACTCATTACCTAGACACTAGTTCTCAGAATCCTTCAATGAATCAGAATCTAATCTCTCCACAATAGGCAAGACAAAAGAATTGTCTAAGGGACAAAATTGTATACCTGCACAAGACTGGAATGGGCTACAAGATGATTGGCAAGCAACTAGGTGAGAAGGAGTCAACTGTTGGTGCGATAATAAACAAAATGAAAGTAACACCAATTGACCTCAGTCTGGAGCTCCACACAAGATTTCCGAATGTGGAGTGAACCTGATGATAAGAAACGTAAGGAAACAACACAGAACTATGCGGCAAGAGCATG